AGACAAATACCCTTATCAGGTAGTTTTTATCAATGGTTTGAAAGTTAAAGGTATTTGAAAAATAAACATATCTTTTAATACGTCGAGGGGCCAGGGGGGAGATTTCGGAATGTTTGTGATTGAGGGGAGAGAATGGACATCAGTTCGCAGTTCAAGTCCATCAAATCAGTATCAGTTCAACTTCCAGCACTGAAGGAGCGTCAGGCTCTACTCGCCCCAGCGGCATATTAGTGTTTTAAACCAGTCGGTATATTAATAAGTTCGTGTCAATAGTGTATCACCGACAAGTGTGTATCATATGCAAGATATCGGCGTTTAAAATATATTGTATTTGTTTAAATATATTTGTTCAAACGTTCTTTTCGAATCTTCATTTTTCCCAGTTTTCTGGGTGGTCCTTCAAAGAAATATATATATAAAGTGAACCTATTTCCCTACGGAAAAAACCTTGTTCCCCAAGGGAAAAAACCAGCGACCTATTACTGGTGTGCGAAAACAAAGCCATCAGGACAAAGGTGTAAGGACAAACACCTACATCTTCGCTCAGAGCACTTGACCTACTTAATTTCGTATAAGTATAGGTTCACGGTGGCCAAAAATTCGTTCTGGTCTGGACAGGGTCCGCAGAATCAGCCTTCTTGGCATTAGAGACCTTCTGGTCGATTTAGTTCCTGAAAACTCTCTTTTTATTGCACCTAACCGCTATCCGTTTATTTCAGGATTTTTCAAAGTTCTCTAGCGAGACTAAAGCTTGTCGCTCACTTATGCACTGCAACGCGAAGCGCGCCGAACAGAATTTCTTCGCCTAGGATTTTACGGTTGCGATCCGTGTTCCTTCTGTTCGCTGTGCAGCGCGTTGCTTCGCACAGATACGCGCGAGTATATTTAACTACATGAAGAAAATTCATAGCAACCTTTTTCTCCGCGCTTCGCGTTGCAGTGCATAAGTGAGCGACAAGCTTTAGTGCAATTTATATTTAAATTGTATTTGTTTCAGCTTCTTCGACTTAGTATATTTCTCGTGAAATATTTATTTTCGAATTAAATGGCATTTTTAACCTGGTACAATTTCATATTTTTCCTCTATTTTTTTAGGTATTTATCGACTTTGAAGAATTTTTTCAAGGCAGTACTTTTCAGATAAATCTATCCACATTAAATAACTTCTTAACCTCGTAATTTTTTGGAAAAACGCAAAACACGTCAATAAATATTGAAAGGGGGAGACATTATATCATATTTTAAGACCAGTTGATAAGACGGAACTCATTTCAACAATTCGTAGTATAAAAAGCACATCGTCCTGTAGTACAGATGGATTATCTATTAAAATTTTCTCAAATCTACCGCATAATGTTTTGGACGTCATGGTCTCGCTAGTAAATGATTCCCTTGAAAAAGGTACATTCCCTAACTGCCTAAAGACTGCCATCGTCATTCCTCTTCATAAAGGTGGAGAAAAATCTGATGCCTGCAACTATAGACCTATTGCCTTGTTACCAGCACTATCAAAAATTATTGAAAGACTTATAAAAGTTCGACGTATGCCCTTTCTCCTTAAATATAATATTTTATCGCAAAATCAGTTCGGCTTTTTGTCTAATAAATGCACTAGTGATGCCATATTTTCTGTGTTACATGATGTATATCTATCACTAAACAGTAACCTCTCCTCCGCCACCGTTTTCTGGGACTATTCCAAAGCCTTTGACTGCGTAAATCACGACATTCTATTAAAAAAATTAACTTTCTATGGAATTCGGGGTGTGTCTTTGAACTGGTTCAAAACTTACTTGGTAGGTAGGAAACAATTGGTTAGAATAAATGACACCGACTCTAGTTGTAAAGATATTGAGTGTGGAGTACCGCAAGAATCAGTATTAGGTCCCATTCTTTTTTTACTTTTCATTAATGACATCACTTACTTGAAAATTAAAGGGAAAATTTTTCTATTTGCTGATGATACCAGTATTACATGGAGCAGCTCTGATATTTCAACGCTTCATTCAATTATAACCGATGATTTACTTATAATCAAGGCTTGGTCAGACTCCAACTTACTTAGCTTTAACGTGGATAAGACTGTAGCATTATCTTATAAAGGAGTCATGCAACCCTTGATTTTGAATGAGAGCCAAATCAATATCGTAAATTCCGTGAAATTTCTAGGTATTCTCATTGACAGTGATCTCAAATGGTCCTTGCATACTGACTCCTTAAGGAAGAAACTAGCCTCAGCTTGCTTTGCAATAAGATCTGTTTCGAAGGAACTAAATTTATCTTCTGCCAAAATGGCATATTTCTCATTGTTCGAGTCCCATCTTCGATATGGGCTTCCATTTTGGGGTTCTAGTACAGCGGCCCAATTTGATACTATTTTTAAGTTGCAAAAAGAGCAATCCGTTATCTATTTGGTCTCAAACAAACAACTCATTGCAAGACTTACTTCAAAAATCACGGAATTTTGACGCTTCCCTCTTTATTTATTTTGGAAACGGTTTGTTTGATTCGAAAGCATCTAAACATTTTTCCCGATAGACCTGACCATGGCTACTCCATTAGAAATTCGGATTGTAACGTTTATTTGCCGATCCCGTCCACTCAGCTAGTAAAGAATTCTATTCTATATCGTGCAAAGAAACTTTATAATCACCTTCCAAGAGAAATTAAATCCGCAACATCCTTCATTAAGTTTCGTAAGGTGACAAAAATCTATCTCTCAGAAAGACCATATTATTCAGTTGACGAGTTTCTTAATGTATAACAAAGAAACAAAATTAGTATTGTTTATAATTACATTTGGGTGTCTCAAGCAGTGGCTACAATTTGTCTCATTTGTTGTTGTTTGTACAAATTATGTAGGTTATACAATAATTTTACTAATTTAAAATTGTGTTATTTTGTTTTTTACTATATTGTTTTTGTTTTATACTTTTTGTATTATTTGACTGATTTATTTTTTAGCTTTTTTCATAAAATTGTTCAATAATTTTCAGTGACAATAAAGCATATTTCTATTCTATTCTATTTAAGGTTGCTGAGAAATGCACCCTCCCACCCCCTGTATCAACCCTTAATTTTTTTAATTACTTCCCTCTTTTTTTATTTTATATATGGATTCTCCTTTTTGTACTGATTTTGGCTTGGCCTTTTTAGCTTGAAGTGACTAGTTTATGAGATTTTCCTGTTTTATTGTTTAACTATTTTGTCCTTTTACAAAGCATTATCCATACTTTACATATTTTCTTTTGGGCACCATGTAGGTCGTAGTTCATGTCGCTGATGAATTTAGCTCAATTTTCTCTTTTGATTGATTTTATTCTTGCGTTTACTTCGTTTCTTAATTGGACATATTCTGCGAGAGCTTCTTCCGATTGTGTGCTTTTATATCTCAGGTAGCATTTGCGTTTTAATTCAGAGAGTTTGTTTACCTCTTGACAAAACCACGGTTTGGTGTGGCCCTAGTGTCAATTGTCCGCTTTTCAATTGCTGCTTCTGCTGCTTGGTTGATGCATTTCCTGATTTTTTACCTTTTGAAGTATCTTCCTGTAGCATTTTCAATTTCATTGATTCTTTGAAGTATATTGAAGTCCCCTCGTATACGAAATATTAAAATCACCTTATATATTTTTGATAGATCTAAAAATATTTCGTACGTATTTAAACCCAAATATCTTTTCATTTCTTTCTTAGGTCGGCCAAGTTGAAATAAACCATTTTAGAGTTGTTTATTTATTTTAACTTCCTCGGCAAATTCTTGTTTTATTAGAAGCCGCAATTATAATGCGTCGCAAAAGGATATGTACGTCGTTTCGTGGTGTCTTGTTATGTCAGCGTTTGTATGTATGCGTTCAATTTTAATAGAATTTCTTCACTATCGTTGGAGTCGCGGTGAAAAGCGGTCAACGTTATGTCCGAATTTGACTTCAAATTCGAAATGTTCCTCGTTGTTTGTGTTTTTTTATGAAGACGTTTGTTCGTCTTTTTTTATGAAGAAAATGTGTAGCAGTGTGAAGTTAATGGTTCAGTAAATGTTTGAGTGAGGAATGGAAGAATCGTCGATTCCATCCTCGTTTTGTTTCTCCCTGGTTATCATCCAAGGCTTTTGGCAGTATGGAGATAGATTTGTTCGTGAAAATCCAGGTAACTTTTTGATCAAATTTTAAAGTAAAGACAGACAATTTGTTTTAAATTAAATAATTGCTTTCGTTGACATTTAAAATTGTAAATTTTAGATTTTGAGTTGAGCTGTCAATTTGTGTGTTTAGTTTTTTTTTAATTTAATGTTAACTTGTGACAGCTCGTTTTTTATTATTTTGTTTTACTATCAGTTTGTTTTATTTTTAAACAAGGTTAACCTCCATATAAATTTTTTAAGATTATGTAGTATCTCCAACTCCTGGAGTTTGTAAGCGGATGACACGTAAGTTTTTGTATTTCTCCATTTGTAACTGTTTGTGGTGACACATAAATAAATGTTAAATTTTGTTGTCTTAACATTTTGTTTATTATTTTTTTTTTGAGCTAAACCTTTTTGATTTTTATTTGAAAAAGATATGTTTTTTATGTTTTAAATTTTTTTCTAATTATCTCCCTAGTTACAACTAGTGGTTGTAATAGGCATAATTAGGCACCTCAAGTGGCGCCCTATATTAAATTCCTTGAGGTATTTTTTGTTTATTTTTATTTTGTTTATCCCAAGAGCCCTTTATTTCATTTTTTTGTAGTTGCCCCATTTCACCCCCCTTATCTTTTACTTATCCACGACCCCAGCTCTCCTACCAAACCCTGAGTGCCGTTCGCACAAGTAGCGTTTATTCTGCTTGCCTTATCTCCACTCCCTTATTTTCTTCCCCCAATTTTCTATCTCCCGTATTAATGCCCCCTGTGGTAGGCAAAATATCTTCGTTAAATTCCTACTCCACATTCTGGTTGTAGATGTCAATAATAATAGTAAATGATAATAATTAAATATTCACCAAACAAAATAAACGTTTCATTTATATTGAAAATTTTAATTTAATATTATGTACTGTTATAATTAGTTTGCAAAGGCATTACATTATATTTGATATCTCTATTTTGTATTTTTCTCAGATCCTCAGCTGCATGTTGTAACTGGACAGCACAATCAGGATGTGCACTCGGAGGTAACTGTAAACATTCTTGTTCAAAAATATAAGCCAATCCGTTTAAAAGATCCAAGAAACCTAACGATATTGCTGCTTTTCTAAGCCTGTTAAGTTCCTGTAACAAAACAAGATTATTTATTTTCTGATTTTAGCAATACCAACTTATTTAAATATAAGTACCGTACTTATTTACCTTATAGAACTGCTGAGTTTTCTCCGGCAACTTTCTAGCATGTCGTAATATTTTCTGAATATCAGACTGCAGACCTGCTTGTCTAATCCAAACGACACCGTTCTGAGAGTAACTTCTTTTCTCCATCGGTTTAATAGGAAAGCTACCTATTTGGTCAGATGAATAAGATTCTGCAGATCCCAAACAATTTAAATCTCCTAACCAAGGTATGATGTCAGTACCTGGCATTAAAATGGTTAGCATCAAATTGGACTTTTTCTTCGAATCTGCCCAAGAATATACAAATCCAAACCAATTTTCTCCTGCAAAGAAAGAAGTTTCACTTTAAAATTATTTTTTAAATTTATGTCGATATAAGTTAGTTTTAATATTAAAGTAAAAACTTCTAAACACACGCTTCAAAAAAAAATATTTGTTAAGAAAGGAAAAAAACCTTGACTTAGCGTCAGCATATAATTGTTTAATAGTGCACTGTAATTTGCATACATTTGGCGCAAAATCCTGGAAGAAAAGTGCTAGAAACTGGAAACTTACAACATAGATTCTTCTTGGCGTAAGAAAGAACCATGAACATACGTCCATGGAAAGAACAGATCTTCTTATTCTCATATTCTAACCCCTCATTTCCTTGGAAGAAAAGTCCTAATCTTGGAACTTGGTACAAAGTTTCTCTTAGTCCAAGGAAACAACCAATTGAATTTTGAGCCAATCTTCTAATTCTCCTATGTTACGTTCAAGAATTCTGTTGGGTCCTTCGATATTCTTACTTTACTTTATCGTGTCCGGACATGTCATTCATAAAATTTCGGCCCAGTATCGGGCTACGTCGGTTCCATCTTTGTTGGAGAGCCATAAATCTTCAAGGGTACATCGATGAGGACAGTTTCTGCATGTAAGAAGATGTTCTATATTCTGTGTTTCTCCACAGTCACAGTTCACATCATCTTGGTCTATTTTTCCCCATTTTGCCATGTTTGATTTTACTGTAGCAACCCCCGTTCTTATCCTATTCAAGGTTTTCCACGTTTTAAAGTCTAGAGTCTGGCCGGTCCATTGAACCTGGGGAAGTGGAAAATACTCAAGCGGTTCATCCTGCACTGTTCCAAGGAAGCTTTTCCTAGATTTTAGTCGCTTTCGTGTGTGTTCGAGCTTTGTACAGGGCATGCCGATCGTCCGCGATCTGTTTAATTTTCTCTATGTGTTCTGCAGCGCCTCTGCGTGTTGAGGGTTCTGCAAATCCCGCTGCTCTATGTAGATTTGAAAGTGGCGTTGGTTTCATGCACCCCGTTACTATCCTGCATGTCTCATTTAGCGCAGTATCAACTTGTTTGGTGTGGGCAGATCTGCTCCAAACGGGGCACGCATATTCAGCAGTTGAGAAACACAGTGCCTGTGCCGTTGTTCTTAAAACGCCAGGACGTGCGCCCCATTTACTTCCCGTTAGCTTTCTGAGTATGCTGTTCCTAGTTGTTACTTTCCCTCTTGTTTTTATGCAATGTTGTCTGTAGGTGAGGGACCGGTCCAGAGTTACTCTAAGATATATAGGTTGGTTTGTGTGTTCTAATGTATTACCATTCCACACAATTTGGAGTTTTCGCTTGGCTTCCTTTGTGCGAAGGTGGAAAGCGCAGACTTGGGTTTTAGAGGGATTGGGTCTCGGAGAATTCTGCAGGTAGTACGCTGTCATTGTTTTTAAGGCAGTTTTCGAGTTTCTCCTCCACTTCTTCAAAACTATTTCCTTGAGCACATATTGCAAGATCATCAGCATAGAGGAAGTGCTTGGTTTCGATCGGAGTAGGTTGGTCGTTTGTGTATATATTGAAGAGCATTGGTGCTAAAACACTTCCTGTAGGAGGGCCGTTTTTTTGAACTCTCCACCTACTTACTTTACCCTCCAGCATAACGAAAAAACGTCTATTTTGCAGTAAGGAATATACGACGTTTCCCAGATGGTGGTCATTGAGAGTGTCGTATAATTTGCGGAGCAATGTTTTGTGCCTTACTGTGTCATAGGCTACTGCCAGGTCTACAAAAGCAGCCCCTGTTATAAGTTTTTCTTCAAAGCCCTCTATAATGTGTTCTGTTAATGCGAGGACTTGACCGGTGCAAGATTTGCCAGGTCTGAATCCTCCTTGTTGTGGGATGAGGTGCTTGTCGACATTTTTTTTTATTCTGGCGAGTATGAGTCTCTCGTATAGTTTAAAAAAGTGACACAATAGCGAAAGTCTGTAGCTACTGGGGTCTTCTGGATCCTTTCCTGGTTTTAACAAGGCTATTACTTTAGATTTCCTCCATGATTTTGGAATTTGGCAGGTTTTGCAGCACGTGTTATAAATTGCAAGATCCAGTTTTTTGCTCCTTGGCCTAAATGCTTTATTTGTTCACTGCATATATGATCCACACCTGCAGCTTTCCCATTTTTTAACCTGTTCAGACCGTCGTGGAGTTCTTTTAGTGTAAAAGGAGTTCCTAGGTGGTTTGTCTCCGAATCCAATCTTCTCCTAGTATTTGGGTCCTTATATCGGTTAGTAGTTCTTCCATTCGTAAGGAGTTGAGTAGCTTCGATATTCTGTCATATCGGTTTATAACACAACTTTGAGGGATTATAAAATATTGATAATATAAAAGAAATAGTTTATATTTACATTTTAAGATTATTTAAAACAAATAGAAGCATTGATATGTGAAGACGCCTGAAGAGAGTGAAGAAAATAGAAAGCAAAATGAGGAATGCAGTCGTCAACGCTTTACATAGCTATATTTTATGAGTTTTTTATAATTGTAAATTTTCTTAATTTTTATAAATTTTAATTCAGTTTGTGGAATTTTACTTTTTTCTACTCTTAATGTTAAAATAACAATCCCGCAAAATTTACTATTTTAAACTTTGGTATCTTCTAAATAGTCACACATTTTGCCAGATATTTCCATTTAATAGTTTCACATTTTTCCTTTTTTCGGTTTGTTAAACGACGTAGTGTTGTCTTGTACTCTTCATATCTAAAGGGTAACAATTGGCAATAGGACGATCTTGAACTAATGGTTCACAAGAAATTTGCAAGACAATCCTGTTTTATTAACATCAAAATGAAGCTTAAATTACGCCATTTAAAATCTAATTAAGTATGGAAAATAATGTTATCAAGATGGTGACCATCACGTTGGATGCAGTTTTCGATCCTCTTTATGAAATCCTCCATAACACACCCTAACATCTCTCGATCAATAGTCAGGATTTTCCTGGCGAATTGCGTTCTTTACTTCGATCAAATTACGAAGTAGCTAGCATATACAAGACTCTTTAAATACCCCCATAGAAAAAAAATCACAAATTGACAGGTCTGGAGACCTTGGAGGCCACGGCAAATCTACGAAACGGGCAAATGAGTTGTCCTGGGAACAGGTTGCGGAGAATATTCAATGAAGCATGGGCAGTATGTGCAGTTGCACCATTCTGGTGAAACCACACATTTCTTGGACTTATTCCTTCCCTACGTAGTTCTGGAAAAAACCTTTTAGATCATGTCAACGTAGCGAACAGAATAAACGGTGACGGTAGGGCCATCTTCTTCGAAAAAATATGGCCCAATAATACCAGTCGAACCAATGGCACTTTTTTCCAAAGTCCAGTGCCTGTAATTCTGTTTATTAACGGTTCCGTCCAAATGGAAATGAACTTTGTCGCTCATTAGAAGATGCTGACCTAAGTTATCTTCCAAAAAAACTTGCATTCTCGTAGCGAAATCCTCACGTTGCTTAACATCTCTTTCCATTAAGTTCTGGACAATCTGCAATTTGTAGGGGTGAAATTTTAGGTCCTTACCACGATGTTTATTTCTTCATATTATGTCTCTTTAGGCAGCCCACTGCTTTATTAGCTTTTGTAGCTTGGTACCTTACTTCATTTTCTTTGAGTGCTTCTTGAGCTGTATAAGTTTATCCATGATACTATGACTGAAAAGATAAGATATTGCGCATAAGTCGTGACGACAATGGAGAGTTGCACGTTCGAAATGTCAGTTTTTTGCATGTATCACTAAATAATCTTTAATAAATAGTTTGGAGATATCCTATGAGATATGCGTACGATTATTGTAATTATTAAACCTCTTAACTTATTTTCGTTTAGTAATTTCATCACAGAATGCATACAAATCCCATTTAACTTTAACAAGAATTCAAATTCTAGTCTCCAATGACGGCATGCGCGAACACGACCGATTTTGTACTACGGGAAGATCCTTTCTTGTTAGTCATAGTATCATGAGTTTATCCACAGATAATTGAACGACGAAACTTAATGTTAACTTAAACCAAACATTTTAAAAATTTATTTACCTATATTCACCAATGCTGCCATATTCTCTACTCTTAAAGCCCCATGAAGTAGTACGCAAAATGATGGTATTTTTGCTTCGTCAGCGCTGTCATCTTCGCTGACTTCCGTTTCATTTTTAGTAACATTTTCTTGTTTGGTTGGAGAACTGGCTGGAAGAATGAGATGACGGCTAATGGCCATAGGCGAACCTACATCTGTAACTGATACAAACCCGCACACCTCTATTAGCTCTGACATATTATGAGTGTTGCATTCAAAATCCGTAAACTTTGTATAAGCCTGAAAAAGAAAAATAAATAATTTACGTATATGGCTCACACTTGTAGTTCATTATTGGGAGAGAAAAATATAATTCATATAAATTGCAAAAATAATTAACTTACCACAGGAGCTGGTGACAATATTATTTTTGATTCTAAATTACCACACTTTAAGGTGCCCTTAAACGTTGTGTACATATCTTCAGCAAGTTTTTGAAACAAACTAATTACGCTCGATTCACTATGAATATTATCTGGCACCAAAATAGATCCATCGTAACCGCTTAGATCAATCAACCTCTGAAAAAGTGGTTTTGCTAAAAATACGAAAAAAAATTGCGAAAACAACTTCGAAGATAGTTAACTTTTATCAAATATATCGTTGGAATAGACCATAATTATAGTACGAGGTCTGGCTATTAAATAAGACTGCGCGCGCAGAAGGCGTCCTAGAGGGGAAGAGTGGGAAACGAATGCAGCATTGGATAGCTGAAGCGTCTACTCTTCCAGCAGTGTTGCCAACCGGAGGGAAATTTCCCTTTTTGCGGGAATTTTTGACACAAAAAAAATGGAAAAAGGAAAAAAATAACTCAAAAGGGAATAATTACTCCGGTGCAAATTGTAAAATATTCTTTAAAAAAATTCAAAAAATATTTGAAAACAATTAAACATATCTTCACCCCCTGATAGTAATTAAAATGTTTCTCCTATTTCGGTATTCTTAATCATAACAAAACATCATTCGGTAATTTACTCTCAAGAATCTCTCAACACTTAGTGCTTAGTGTCAAAAATTAAAATAGATTATGGTTGGGTAATCTATTTTACAGCCAGATCACTATACTTTTATATAAATCTTCTTCTTCAAGTTCCACTCCTATCGGAGATTGGAAATCATTCTGGCAATTATAATTTTATTGGTTACTCGCCTGAATAGTTCAATTGAACTACATCCAAACCACTCACGGAGATTGCGTAGCCACGAGATTTTACGTCTTCCTACGCTTCTTCTACCTTTGATTTTACCCTGCATTATATTCCTTAGTAGTTCGTACTTTTCACCTCTCATGAATGTGCCCCAAGTATTCCAATTTCCTGATCTTTATGGAATTTAAAACTTCGCATTGTTTTCCTAGTTGTTCGAGAACTTGTTCGTTTGTTTTATATAAATATTATGATCTAAATATAGGCACCTATTCCCCAAATCAAAATATAATAAAACTTAACGAAGGCTAATGTAAGCACTTGTCCCAATAATTTCGTCTTTATTTATTAGGTACTTAAATAAAATTATGATTGTTTGAATACATATTGTAATGGAAGTGGGAATCCCACCGAAATTGTCTTATTTGGTACTTTATGTATAAAGTGTTACTTCTTAATAATAATTATTGGAGTTTAGAGCAGAGTAAAAGTATAACAATGAAAATGAGTGACAATAATAACAGTAGTGTATTTAATGATAGTGGGTCTAATGTAGTCATCAAATAAAAAAAATTAAAATAACCAAATCTAAAAAAAAAAAACATTTAATGTTAAGTGGTTAGAAAATCCTTCTTTTAAAATCAGGGTTAAGGCTTTGCCACATAATAATAAAACATCATCATCATCATCTTGGTGCTACAGCCCTTAGAGGGCCTCGACCTTCTCAAGCTTTCTACGCCATTCTGTTCGGTCCCTTGCTTGAATTTTCCAGTTGCCGACTCCGATCTTCTCCGCATCTTGTGTTACCCCATCCATCCACCTCAGCTTTGGTCGACCCCATCTTCTCATTCCCACAGGTTGCGCTGTTAGAATCTTTTTTATCATGTTCGATTCAGGGGCCCGGGCTACATGTCCTGCCCACTGCAGGCGGTTTTCGCTTAATTATAGTGGTAATATCTTTACCACCGAACGTATGCTTATGTATAATAATAAAACATGTATGTGGAAAGTGTGTAATGCAGAAATTTTATGTGGCAAAAGAGAACTGCAAATACATGCTGCAGGTAAGAAACATTTAAAAAATATGACTGCTACTAAATCTATTTCAAGAATTTCCTCCTTTTTGGCAACTGGTAATACTTCTTTAAATCGCCAAAATGCCGTAAAAGGTGCCGAAATAAGATAAGTGTCTTTTTGCTGAACATAACGTGGCTAAATAGACATATTCTTATACAAAACCCATTTTGTAAACGGGAGAGAATTTTTTCATAAAAGTGGGAATTTTTAAGGTTAAGTTGAGGGAAAAAGCTTGCAAGAAGGTTGGCAACACTGTCTTCCAGTACGAGAACACGTTTTTGTCGCTATAGTAGTATTTTTTCTGTAGAGGTTAGAAAAGAACGTGTCTTTTTCTCGTGCCGATAAAAATGTGTGACGAAAAACACGAGTAACGGATTAATGTGCAATTTCTCGTTAAATTAATAATGGCAATTATTGTTAAATTAATAATTAAAATAAATGGCACTGGCAAAGCCAAAAGACCAGTCATGTGGTTTTATTTAAAATCGTTACAATACCAACGAAATATTTGACGAAAGTTGAGATACGGTGAAATGGATTCAGTACAAAATAGTTAAATATTAATTAAAAACACAGTGGAATAACAGATTTATAGAAGATAATACAACTTACATTTAATGAAACTTAAATCGTTAGGAGAAGTGAGACACACCACATGTAATTTCCCTGGGAATGAAAAAGGAACGGGAAATGGTATTTTATTATTCCTTTGATTCATTGTTGCAATTGCTTCTTTCAAGGAATTCGTTCCTATACCAGTATTTCCGTCTGTTACTAATAATACCTAAAAATATTCTTATTTTATTATGTATGTATTACATTTAATGATAATAAACCACAATTTAATTTTGATTGAATTTTTATTCCCATTAAATACGATCCCTGACAAGAAATATCATGTCATCCAACATGCCATCCAATGTCATCGCTGACAAGAAATATTAGAGCTAATGGAAGAACGAAGAAAACACAGAAATAATAATGAGGAAAGTTACAAAGAAAGGTTGAGTTTAGCGAAAGTAATAGCTGAATATAGCCGCAAATGTCAAAAATATTTGGGCTTTTATTTTTATTGTGGGACAATAGCTTGGCACACTGTCCCACTGGACCGATCAGAACGACCCAACTCATGGGGAGAAAGATGAGAAAGAAAAAGAAAAATAAAAAAGACGGAAGAGAGCGTAGACCGGAATTAGGGAGAAAACAGAAGAGGGGGTGAAAAAGAAAGCGATGAAACTCGGGGAGAGAAAAGCTGGAAGAGAGAAGTGAAAACAAATTGGAACTAGAAATAAAGACCGAAAAATAAAATAAGAGAGATTCTAAAGAAAGAAAACGAAAGAAGCGAAGATCAAAAAGAAGAAAACCAAGCAAAAGGACAGAAACGACCAGTTCGGAGGAAGAGGGACAGCCACTTAATTATAAAGCTAGATCAAAGTTGTAGCGTAGAGGAACTAGAGAAACTCACTGTCACTTGTCAAATACAAGGCTGTCCATAAAAAGGAAGGTCGACATCCTGAGAAAAGTGGAGAAAAATAAGAAGGAAGAAGAGGCTCCAAGCAAGTCTGTGTGCATGACATCCGGAGGCGTGCAAATCAACATGGAACTTTTGAGAGTTAAGAAGAAGGCGACAATAGTGGTTCAAGTGGACCTAGAGATCCCAGAAGCCATTAAAAGAAGTGTGGACGCTATCGCGGACAAGATGGCAACATGCGAGGACGAGCAGGAAACAAGAGAATTCCTAAATGGCCGGAAGATCCCCCCGGAGAACCGTAGTGAAAGATGGGATCATGTCGGAAATAACAAGAAACGTGGCAGCCTTTGTCACAAAGAATAATGAGGTCAACAAAGCCATAGAAAAGATCAAAACTACATTCCAATAGCTACCAGGTACTCCAGCCCATTTGGCGAGAAGTGCGGCCCGGGAACTACGAGAGTCACGATGTCTGCACATAAAGATGGAACGTGGATTCACAAGAAGTATGGATTCAAACTTCTCGCAAACAAAAAGGAAGAACATAAGCTGGTGAAGTTCTTGAAAACGTGCAAGAAACTGGTATAGAAGATGGAGGAACTAGGAAGAGAAAACGTGTGAATCCACACGTCGGCAGCATTGGAAGTTGAGACATCGAGGAGAATTCTGGAGTGGGCTTTAAGAGGAAGGGGTGTCACTATCACGCTCCTAGGCAAAACAGTTTTTGGTACCAAAAAAAGAGACAGGGAAAAGGAACAAGGAGCCTCCTTGCTGACAGTCTGTTAATAAATAAAGGTAGTGCTTAGGAAGTGAAGCCGGCTTTACAACCATCATTCCGCTTCCAGGTATGACAGACAGACAGAGAAGGGTCTAGTTTAACTCTGTAAGTTTCTGGATGGATAATTATCCATCCAGAAACTGACAGAGAATGTAGCGTAGAAGTAATTTTAAACTGTTTGTCCTCGTTTTAGTGTAGTATTTTTGTATAATTTATGTTATTTTTAATGTTTCCACATTCTACGCTTGCCGGATAGTTCTTATTTTGACGAAATGCCCCTGAAGATGCTATTTTAAGCGAAAGTACTTGGGCTAGATTTAATTAACTTGTGCTCGATAATAGCCTTATTTTAAAAGTTCATTTATTCTAGCATTCAACCTCATTTCATTTAAAAATAATTTTACCTGACAAGCAGTGTTATTCCCCATTCACCAAGAACCATATGATTAACACCGTGCAACGCTGTTTCAATGCAAGTTTTATCATAGTCTTCTATATTTTTTAATTCTGCTTTAATAGCATTGTAATCTCTGGTAAACGGACACCTCTCCTCGTACAATGACGAAAAAGCCATCTGAAAATCAGTAAAATAACGTTGGGCAAAAAATAAACAGTACCTCAGCTGTTAACTAAAAATCTAATTTTCAACCATACCCAGTTATCCTTTTGAGTTAACTATGATTTCGATTTTAAACTCTTTACTTGCAAATTCTATACGTAGTTGTTCCTGTATATTGTACTTTATATATTTTTCAATCTCCATTGCTTCTTTGACTACACGTTTTGTCATATTTTCAATGTTAGATAGCATCGTAGATAAAACAAAAAACAACAACACAAAAGAAAAATAAAAAACAGCATCTATAAAATACCATGTAAATGCAACCATTTTTACGTGGGAGAAACCACAAGACCACTAAGTGTCAGGATAAATGAGTAAACATACATTTAAGGTCGATTCAGACACATCAGTCACGTCTCATCACAGTCCTGGCGCCGAACCGAACAATCCGTCATACAAAATATTCTTTAATAGAAATATGGCGCCGGTATTCACATTCATCAGGCGACGAATAGTTTACCAGCTGTCAGATAGTTGATAGTTCTGTGACCAAACAGACCGGTTCGGCGTCGGGACTGTGACGGGACTGATGTGTCTGAATCGACCTTAAGAACACATACAACACGACCGGATTCACTTTGTATTTGAGATATTGATGCGCAATTGTGCTGACCCTCGGTAAACCCAAAGCGATCAGTCGTAGGCCAATCCGGTAATATATATTCTTTATCTATGGGCCAAACGTCGAGGAGCAAATGTAACTATTGTTTCTACAGTTGGTTCAGTAGGTGAAATCATTTTTGTATATGGATTTTAAATCGCTATTAAAATATAAAATTTTAAGTGTACAAAGTCGTAAAATAGTAAATAATGTATTAAATTTATATTAACATATAATTAATTGAATATAATTATTTATTTCGTCTTTAAGATAAAGACGAATTTGCAATGGTTATTGCCAACCTTCATTAGTGGAGACGGCACTAGAAGAAGAAACTTTAAGAAACATATTTATCTACATGAATATATTTTAAACTTTGTAGACTGCTAAAAAACCAGCTTTTAAACACACCTCATTTGTTTTAAATATTATAAATAGTTCAGCCAGTCCAAAGTCTAGATAAAGTGTGATGGGATGTTCGTAAAAGTTACCTAGGTAATTATTATTTTCGTTATTAGTAATTATCGTGATCCGATCTATCGTAATGCCAAAGCAGATATCATTGCTTTACATGAAATGAGGTGGATTAGCTCAGGAATCCTGGAAAAAAAAATAACTGCAATATTTACTACAGTGCACATCCTACCCTACACGAATTTGGTACCAGATTTATTGTAAGCAGCAAGGTCAAACATAGTGTAATCGACTTCAAAGCTATTGATCATAGGATATGTCGAATAAGACTTAAGTTCGCTAATATTAGCTTCCATGCTCCAACGGAAGAAAAAGAAGATAATGAAAAAGAGATGTTCTATGAGGCACTAGACCGAGAGTACGATGAGTGCCCAAAAAATGACATCAAAATAATAGCAGGAGACTTTAATGCCAAAGTCAGAAGAGAGAATATATTTTCAGATAATCAGAGATGAACATCACCATATCAGTGATGAACAATTTGGCTTCCGAAATGGATTTGGGACACGGGAAGCATTACCTAACCAGTTTTATTATACTGCTGAAAAAATGTCGAGACCAAAAAAAGGATCTCTTTTTATGTTTTATTGACTATCAAAAGGCCTTCGACAAAGTAAAACATGATAAGCTGATGGATTGCCTTCACAAAAAGGGACTAGACGAGAACGATTTTAAAATTATCCAAACGCTGTATTTTAACCAAACTGCAGCAGTTAGAACAGAAGCCGGTGACACAGAAATATTCAATATCAAGCGAGGTGTACGACAGGGGTGTGTATTGTCACCACTACTTTTCAATATATATTCGGAGTTCTAAATAATGTACGATACGCCGACGACACGGTCCTAATTGCAGAGAGCGCACAGGATCTCCAGACACTCTTAGATCGCGTCAGATCGATCGGAGAACAATACGGCCTCAGCATTAACGTCAAGAAAACAAAAACAATGATTGTCTCCAAAACATCCATCCATCCACCCATGGCTTTAAACGTCAATGGTAACATTATCGAAAATGTCGAGAAATTTCGATATCTAGGGTGCTGGATAACGAAAGATATAGATCCAGACATAGAAATAAAATCGCGAATTGAACAAGCAAGAAATGTCTTTTTAAAAATGAAACAAATGTTTACGTCCCAAACATTCAATCTCAAAATCCGATACCGAATGCTGAAATGTTACGTTTACAGCACCTTACTATGGAATGGAGGCCTGGACCTTCAAAATCAACTCACTCAGGCGTTTGGAAAGTTTTGAAATGTGGTTATTTCGAAGGATGCTGAAAGTCCCCTGGACAGCGCATATGAGCAACGAGCAGGTCCTACACAAGATGGGTACCGACAGAGAACTCTCAAAAATAATGAAAACAGGGAAAACCTCATATTTGGGACACATATACAGAAATGAGAAATACCAGCTACTGCAGCTTCTTATAGAGGGGAAGGTAGAAGGAAAACGTGGTCCTGGTAGACGGCAGGCGTCCTGGTTGAAGAACATTCGTGAGTGGACTAGTTTGGATTCTCAATCTTTAATAAGAAAAGCCAGGGACAGAAATGATTTTGCTGAGGTTATCGCCAACCTTCATTGAAGACGGCACCCAAAGAAGATCAGAAAAAAGAGTCTACACGTAGACTCTAATGATAACGGTTTCAGAATCGTAAACTTTGCTATGTCTAAGAACATGGTAATAGTTGGGACAAGATTTCCCGATAAAGATATACATAAGGGAATTTTGAAAATCTACTGATAATGAAACGATTAACCAAATAGATCATATAATCATCGATGCAAAACACTGCTCTAACTTATTAGATGTTAGGTCTTTTAAAGGACAAACACAGATAGTGATCATTACCTAGTTAAAGCACGATTTAAAGAGAGAATATGCAATTTAAAAAAGGAGATAGAGAGAAAAAATCACATTATTAAACTAAAAAGATCCCGACATTGCAAATGTATACATACAGCAAATAGAAGATCAAATAAGGACAAAAATCATAGAAGAAATAAACCAACTATGGCAAATATACGAGATATTGTATTACAGAAATCGTTGAAATATTGAGCAACACCAAGTCAGAAAAAGAAAGAATTGTTGATCATGAGTGCGAAATGGCCACAAATAGAAAGAACGCAGAAATGAAAAAAACATTAACGCAGGTTGTACACGAAGAAAAAAGAAGAGTAAGACGCATTAGAAGAGAGGAAAAACTTGATAAAAACTCAGTTCTTAACAGATGGACACAACATTTCAGCGAACATCTAAATATAAACGACATTGAAGGAGAGTACAACAAAAAAAATCAACAAAATCTACAACGTCAACTACACAGTAAAGACCCAACAAGAGAAGAAGTGTCAAATGTGATCCTAAAACTCCCAATAAGACAATAAAGCCCCAGAAATCGATGAAAACTGCTCGGAAATGTATAAAAAGGTGGTGATTAAACTTTTTGCAGCAATCCATAAACTAATAGTACTTATATGGCAGAATGAATGGGTACCAGATGAGTAGCTGAAGGGAATAATATGGCCGTTGCATAAAAAGGTAATCAACTGGAGTGTAAAAACTATAGAGGCATTGTTCTGTTAGCATCTGCGTATAAAATCTTCGGCAATGTATTATTTGAAAGACTTTTTTATAAATGATATTGTTTGTCAATATCAATGCGGATTTACTGCTGGAAAGTCAACTAGACATCAAATTCAAGCACATAGTCAGGTTCTAGAAAAGTCACAAGATCTAATACAGGGGGACGCGTTGGCGTGTCTGCTCTTTAATATTGCCTTTAACTATAACTATATCGCTGACGATATAGTTATAGTAGGCAGAAGTATGAGAGACATGGTGCAGTGTGGTGCATGGTGCGGAGCGCAGCAAGTGAATTAGGACTTGCGGTAAACAAGGAAAAATCCAAATATATGTTGTTTCTAAAAACCCTCGAAATATCCAACAGAGATGGACTATTTCAGATATCCTATGAACTAGTCACACTCTGCCTTTGCTGGGACCCTTGTTGTGTGTTCAAATAAAGGATTATCGGCTTTGAATGATAATGAATCTCTTTGACAATTTGCAGCAGTATGACTTCAGTGATGAATTTCTGTGGTCATCAATCGGAATATCAAAAATCTTGTAAATGTTTTAAAAAAAACCAGAAGTTCGAAAGCTAATAATTCAGCATAAATAAAAATGATTAAAATAAAAAAAAATAGTAATAAAAAGTAGTTTATTGTTAGAAATAAAGAAATAATACAACATCGGTTCTGGATGGGATCTTTAATTTCATTATAACAAAGGAAAGTTCACAACTAATAATCATTTAGTTATTGCTAAATAAATATAATTTAAATGACCTAAGATTCAAAAATATTATTTAGTCACAGCAGCTTGTGCAGCCTTTTTCGCTTTAATAGTCTCCACTAAATCTTTATATCTTTTCATACAGTCCTTTTTCGATCTGTTAGGTATACATTCTGAGATTCTATCCCATCTTTCAGGAGTAGAAGCAGGATAGGTTTTCAAAGCTTGTTCTAAAAGTTGTTGCTCACCGGTTGTCCAAGGAAGATCAGCCTTTGGTTTGGCTTCTCCATTAGTGGTCGGTTTTTTAGAATTATCACTTAAACTGACTTCATCTAATTTTTTAGATATATCAGATTCAGTAATGTTAAGGACACTTTTTTGTCCTTCTTAAAATTGTCAAAAGCTTGCTTATTTGCAACTTCCTTAAGATTGTTTTTAGAGAAATCTGTGTTTTGGAGATCTTTTGCTTTCGAAAGTACCATTTTAGCGTTAAACTTGCTGCTGTTTAGTGAGAAAGTACCGTGTTGGTTAATAAAGTTTGCCACAACATCCCACCTTTGGTTGGTACCT